CCCCAGACAAGTCTGGTACCAATTTGCCGACCCGGAGGGATGGACGGTTTGGTGGGCCATGGGCGCTATGATCGATTCTACATGTGTGTTGCAGGGCTCCTCCGACCACTGCGCAATACGCGATTAGAATACATATATCATACAATGCAGAATTTCCAAAAATGCAAATCTAAAATCTAAGCTTATCAAAGAAAGAATGCAAATATTTCAGATGTAGAACATCCGCTAATGCGATGTCGCTTGTACAACGTTTCTATGGTCGGTGGCCCTCACCACTCGTCGTTCATCAGTCAGCGTCGGCTCTGCGTTACTGATGAAACATTGCTTGCTTGGATTATTGCTCATCTGTTCATCAACCTCTTCGCTTTGGTCAGCTTATGAGTGTATTTTCAGAGACAGAAAGAGCGCCGTTTAACGAGGTACCTTACTTCTGAAACAACCACAGTGATGCATTGTGGTTGTTTCAAACGTAATACCCTGCTATGAAAATTCTAATAGGCAGTAGATAATAGGTTAACGTTGTAACTTACTTGCTTAATTATACGTTCTTTCCATGTGTCCTACGGGCCATTGCATTAAGATGGTGGCTTTTGGGTGCAAAATCGGTCGCAACTTGAGCATCACCTGAGGACTTTCCTCTTCACTGATATGTTCAATGATGGCAGAGTATTATTTTTCTTTGAAACCGGGATCTCCGTGTTACGTGTATCAGGTTCTCACCACAGGGAATCCTGTATGTATGAGAAAAATCTGGTCTCTTTATAGATCGTGCTCTTCAAAAAGACAGCAAATAAAATTAGATAGTGAATCCCATGTTTAGTCCATTTGATGCTGGAGCATGACGCAAACGTAATAAGTTAATTCAACGAACAACTAATAAGCAAAATATCGAATTTTATGAGATAAGGTGAGTTTAAGTATATCTAGAAGCTTCGTTTCAGTATTTGCAAAATGAACAACTCTTTCGAAGTGCTGTTGTTAATCCATTAGAGACAAATGCCAACAAATCCTAGGTCAAAATGTTTTAGTATAGATAAAGGGGTAAAGGATAAGGCTCTCAGCGTTGATCAATCCCTGAGAGACGCACCATTCATTTGACTTCATTAAGTGTCGTTGGAGGCAATTGAATGCATATCTGGCCTTTACAGTGACTCACTGTGGCCTACCAATGTATCGAGCCAGTGCTGCTATCCTCCCAGACAAGTCTGGTACCAATTTGCCGACCCGGAGGGATGGACGGCTTGGTGGGCCATAGGCGCGGGGATCGATTCCACGTGTGTGTCGCAGTGGCGCCTCCAACCACTGCGCCACACGCGCCGCTTTCATATGGATATTAGAATGAATGGTCATTAGTGCTACTTTGTCAGCCAGCCAGTTTATGTTGAAATCATAACATGGAGTCGTTTTGAAGCATTGGTAAGTCGTCAATAGAGTTAGCCTCTCAACACTGTTCCACTAGTGAAAGCTTTACACTTTGGAACTAGGTTCCTCATGGATTGACAAGAATTCACATGACATCACTTTTATGTAGACTTCTTGATAGAATTTTTAGAATTTTTGTCGATTTGGGTAAAATTCTTTCACACATTAAAGTTCGGAAACCAAGAACACCTCCTAACAATGATGCAGCCTCGAATTTACGCTAAAAGAATGACCACGTGTAGTGAAATTTGAAATGATTTTATGGCAAATAGTTATTGTTGCGCTTGCCATCGGTTTACCTCCTCATCTTGGCTGGCTGATGTTTTCTGATGTCGGGTTGTGATGTATAGCGGGGGATTCATCCCCCCCTGCAGGGTCTCCCAAGCTGAGAAGGAGTCCGTCTTTTTCAGAAAGCCTAGCTAAGAGTAGACCAATACCAGGACCCACCACCGTCCTGGTATCAAAGTCGCATGATGGCAAATCTCCTTCTGATCCACAAGGGCTGCGACTGCCTGTGGTGGTGACGACCTGGCCAGACTTTAGCCAGACTCTCCTCGAGACTCCAGAGAACCACAGTGGCTGAGCCAACAAGTCTCCGGAAAATGGAACTTATGCTATGATCCGCATAACTAGTGGGAACAAGCCAACCAGGTATCCGAGCAAGTAAGTTTTATCGAAAAAACTCATTGAACGAGTTGATGATGGAAGTGGTTTTGGCCGCTGCTTGCAGTTTACAAAGAGCATTTGATGGCCATAATTGCTACTAACCTTTGAGAAACCCTTCGACAAAAATATTCGAAACTCGTTTCAAATACATTTGAAAAAGTAAAGGATCGTTGAATTTGTTTTACAGAAAATGGACAACTTTCAGAGAAAATGTCACTGATAGATCTACTATGCGCTTTTTATGCACAATGGAAGCAAACCAGTTCTCACTGCATCGTGACGAGGGATTAAAGTGAGATGGTATCCGGCAGTAAAAAGGCGGTTATACAAGACCAAAGCTCCCAAACCCTTCTAAGAGCCGAACTTGCAGCGGGAGAGGGTCATTGAAGCAGTTAGTGATAGCATTGGGTAATCGCGGGTTCGAAGTCCAATTGAGGTTCCGAGCTTTGTTCATATCGAGTTTCTTATTATTTTATTTTGCATCGCACCCTGCCATAGAAAAAAGTAGGAAAACATAAAAAATGTGGAAATAGAGAATAAGTTTAGCGAAATATCAACTGCTTTCTCTTCTTGTCACTCGTTCATTCTTCATTTGAATTTTATAAGGTTAATTATTTGTTAGCTATCGCATCGTCTTTTCTCCTCTTTGCAGCACAAAACTAACTTTATTACCGTTGTGACTAATCGAACATACTGTGCGTGTTGTTTAATAGTTAAAGGTGATTTGCAATACACAGGCTCTTTGTTCGATCCCGCTTTAACTTTTCTCACTGAGATATACCTGAAGGGTTTTTTTTTGAAAACGGTTAGAATGGTGACGTGTAAATTGGTTTTAGAGCGAACGAGAAACCTCTAAAAGTCAAAGCAAGGAAAGCGGAAGAAAAATCAAAATGAGCTATTCTTTAACTAATATGAGAAATAAAGAGGTTGGAAAACTGAGAAGGAAAATGTCTTAGAATAGTGCAGGAACGGTGGCACTTTCACAGCGACATTTGAACCTATTCCAAATGATCTATGTCCTTCAAGAGATTGCTTCTTCATGGGAACTTAAAACTGTTAAGGCTTTCTTCGTAGGCACATCAGAGTCATCTATAAAGGCGAATTAAACTGTTCCAGTGATATCACGGTGTTAAGAAATCGTCATTTTCAGGTGGCAATTCAAATATGCTGGTATCGCGCTCTTCTACCGTACATCTACACCAATATAGTAGACCTCCTAATGTCGTCAGCCTACCTAGTGGTGCTCTTCGTTCACCTTATTCAAAATAAACATGCTGATCAAGTATGTTGTGTATGTCGTTTTCTTATCTTTGATCGACTCTTGTTTTAAAAAATTTAGATGTATTGGCGACTCCATTCTTTTATATTGTCAGTTTTATGGTTGTCTCGCAAAGGGTTGTCTCGTGTAACGTATTGGTTAGAGGTACACTGCTGCACTTGTGGTCGTTGGTTGGCTCTTCTCCGTAGATCAGAGGCCGAACGAAAAATGAACTAAGTTAACCATCTTCTAAGGTCGCAAAATTGATACCACATTAGTCTATGAGGACAATAGTGTGATACGATACATCATGAGCCACCACATGTGGTATGCATTGAGTTACCTCTACGATTGCTAATGGAGTCGAATGCATGGTGCATCCCAAAGATTTTGGCCGACCGATGACAAATGCTTTATCCGCTATCCTGTGTAAATCTTGCGAAAAACAGATTTTTACAAAAGATCTTTATATTATTATAGTGCTGAGATATTTGCAAAACTCCGGAATGCAGGTGTCTGCAGTGGGGAACGAACGCGCTATTGTCCTTTCCGGGGAGCAACGCGTTCACCACCACACCATGCGGATCCTTCGTTTCGCCTGTTTCTCAGCTAGTTCTATCGATTTTTTGCCATCAGCAATCACCCGTCAATGGGATTGATCTGGGGAGCCCACAAATCGGCATTGAACCCAGTTAAGTTGAGATTGTAGTTATAATACACCTGCCGTCCGGAGTTTTGCAAATATCTCAGCACTATAATAGTTATATTTCGCAAAACACCCTGCCGTTAAAAAGAATAGGCAGTATATAAAAAGGTTGACATTGATCTTTATATTTGTAGATTGTTCTGCTATTTATTGTGGCCGTCATCGTCTTCAAATGGTACAGTCTTTTTTGCTCTCGTCGACTTTACTGGATTCTGCAGTCGATGTTCGACCGACGCTTTGACACACATACGGTAATTGTTAAGGACGAGTCGGAGTTTCAGCTATAGAACTCATCGTCTATGGATGACCACCGGCTCTCAGGCAGTGTAAACCTCGTTAAATTCGGTGTTTGCAACATTTTAACAACCTTTGTTCACCAATTTCCTGTTATGCTTTCCCTTCTATTAGCTTTATAGCCTATCGTTTTACATTGGGTAGAAAAATCATATTCTATCAGAAATCGAAAAAAAATTGAACCTTTATCTTTAAGAAAAGTGTATCTGAATCAGTCCCTCTTATCACTAGGAAAGACTGAAGAGAGTTTTGCTTAATTTCTCCAGCGATTTCTTTAGATTGAGCTAGAGTTTAAGAAACACTGGCTAATTCTTCAGAATGCATTGAAAGACCAAGCGGTGGTTGTTAAATACTACGAATTATTGGTACATCTTGTAGTAACTCCCACGTCCGACTTTCTCCGACTACGAATTACTGTTGGAATTTTCAATCTAATAAAGATTGCAAGGATCTTCTTTGAACCCGTGGCCGCTATTCTAAATTTTATTTAAGCGATGGAAAAAGTTAACTTGAACGAGAGCATTGCTCAAGAGCTCAGATTCCTTCACTGCTCTTCTTCTTTCTGTCGTCCGTCTTCTTTGTGGTCATACCGCTCAGCGACGCCCACGGGTCGACAGTGGATGATGTGAGAGCAGTGAAAGCGTTCATTGCTGCACCTAAGTTAGAAAAAATTCTCAAAAGAACAAGAAGAAAAAAAATAGTAATGTTCGTGCGATAGCTGAAAATAGGTTAATAAAGAATGTTGTACTCTCATGATTCCTAAACTTGCTCCTGTAAAATTCTCTCAATTCTCCTTTTAACATTATTTTTTCACTTTTCTTTTTTTTACTTCTAGTGGCCTCAAAAAACTTTTTTTCTAAGGTTTCAATGAAAGCTTCTTTTGCGGCAAAACCTTTTCCTGATAATTTCTCTTGCTTTTGCCAAAGAATGGGAAAACCTAAATACCGCTTAAAGGCAGTAAAATTTTTGATCTGTTCTAAATAAATTCGGAAAAAATTTAGCAAGTGTTTTGCGACTGATCCAACATTCTCCAAATATTTGAATTTTTCAAAAGAGAGGTTAACCTGAGACGGTAGGTTCACGTTCCATAGTGGGACCAGGTATTGTAGGATGAGCGGCGTATCCAGTTGGGGCCGCCGAGGATATCGACGTTGATGGAAGATAAGGTGATGTAAGATAAGCCATGGCGCCTGAAGGAAGTCCTGCCATGCCTGCCTGCGAAGGAATTCCTGTCATCCCTGCTTGCTGCTGTTGTGCCTGTTGCACATGTTGAGGCTGTTGCTGTGGCTGTGTGCGGAGAACTGAAGGAATTTGGTTGATTAATGTAAAGTACTTAAAATACATAGTATGGAACAAAAACTTTATTAGAGGTGGATGCGGTTTGACTGACAAGAGAAGGCGCTATTTGCTGACTCTTTGCTAGTTATTTCTACTTCCATTACTCTTTGCAAGCCACCCTTTCTTCGTGCCCACAGAATTTTACCGTTTTTTCATTATTACAGGGCAAATCTACCCCACGCTTCTGATTGGGGAAGCTCACTAGCCACTCAAATATAGTCTTGCGCATAACCACGGTTATGATTACATGTGCACGAAAAATACAATCTATTCGACTAGAGGAGAAATAGAAAACTTATCCTATAAATTACATGAGCCTTTGAATCATTTATATCTTTGAAGAAATACATATCGCTTCCATTCCACTTCTAACCCTGTATCAACATTTAGGGGATGGGCAAAACTTTTTCTTACAATGGTTCGACACAAGATTCCTCACAAGAAAGTTTATTGCAATTAACCTGTGCAGAACTCTTATTCAAGGTTTAATATTAGGCTCATACTCCACAATTTTACTGCTTGGCTCAAAGGTTTCATAGAAATAAAGAAAAAGGGTCAGAAAGATAGATAACTATTAACTAGATCTTTGTATTGCACATTGATTCTATAGGACACATCTGCTCAAAAGAGGCCAAAAACATTTAGCTAAGGAAAATAATTTTAGAAAATTCAATAAGTTGCCTTCACTAAATGTCTAGGTACTCTTACCCATTCCTTGTGGATAGTTCATGTAGAGCGAGCTTGAAATAGGTTGCTGGCCGTACATCTGATAGGGGCCTTGAGAGAGTTGTTGTGGTTGTGTGGAGTACATTCCGTAAACAGTCGGGGGATAGCCGGTTAATCCATGCTGTACTCCGATTGGAACAGGCTGATTGATCACATTAGTGTATGGTTGGTACTGAGCAGGTTGTTGCTGCTGTAGTGCTACAGCACTGGATGAGTACGGTGCACCGTAAGGAGCTGGAGCAGGAGCGACGCTTTGCGCTGGGGAAGGAACGCCGTAACCGTCTGCACGAGCAAACCCAATTAGAGCCAGCAGTATGAAGCACATCATCCTATAAATGTGATAAGAAACTCACTCGAAAATGTAGAATGACATCTCTAACGTGAGAAAAGTGCTGTTTTGATACAAAGGAAAACATGCGTTAGGTTTCTGCTACTGAGATTTTTTTGCCTTTATAGGAATGCAGTTGATTATTTCTTATTTGTTCAAGGTGTTTTTATCTTACTTGTCATCTATGATATCTTTACATTTCTTATCTTTTGTTGCATAAGGCTTGTAAAATATGAGAAAACAAAAGTCAAAGGATAATGTTGAAGAAGATGGAAGGATTTCGTGAACACTGGCGTATTTCTTGGCAAAAATGGAGGTGTTTAGAGGAAGTGCATGAAGCGAGCAAAAAACTGAATCTGTCTGTCGATGTTCTGCTGCAGCTTTATACCGTGGCACAAAACCAGACATATTTTCTATTGCGGCTTGCACTGGATTATCCCATAGAAAGTATTGTGATCTTAAGGTCTTAAGGGATTTACGCGCAAACACCTGGAGAAGATATCCAACAGCTTAGCAACCTGATCAGACCAGATGTCGGTTCTTCGACTCAATGCTAAATACTTTTTCTGCCTTTTTCATTTATGAGTTGCACTATGTAGTTTATTCTTTAAAGAACTTCTTAAATAACTTCAATTGCATTCTTAACCCTCTCAGTTGGTTATCGAGTGATTCGAATTGGGTCAATGATGAGTCCGTTCCTACGCTTGTTCTTCTCGTATTAAGGATGCATGAAAAGTCAGAGTTTACCTTTAATCTAAAGCATTCCCAGTAGATTTTTCGGAAGAGTACACGACACAGTAAAGCGAGCGACTGTTTATAAGTGTGTACATGGATGGAACGAAAGTTAAATCGTTACATTAACTCAGAAACCTCAATGTAAATAACGAGGTTCGCTATCTAGTACAGAAGTCATTGAAGACCGCAAAAAATTTGAAAGTGCATCTGTAATTTTTAACTTGGAGTCAATGTTCTTTCAGATTGTGCACTTTAAATCTTTCTTGAATTTGTTTCTTCTTCTCATATTATCAAAGCTTTTCCCTCCTTTGTGATAAGGAACTAGTACTGAACGTTACGCTCCGGTGTACTAACACCATTATCATCGAAGAAAACAGGAAATGTATCCTTACTGAAAACAAGCATCAAAATAATAGTAGGCTCCTTGTGTCAAGCACCAATGTTTATCAGAATAGCTATCAGTTACATAGTGAAGTGAACTTTGTCTTCCACTTCCAAAACAATAGTGATTGAGAAGAATCGGAGATAGTCGCGTCAACCAAGTCGTCATTCCAAGAAAAACAATGATCCAAAAATGATCAAAGAGACCTAAAGTAGTAAACTGTCTGACGTCTATGATACCGGCGATGTGGCGATCGCATGGAAACAGATGAAGCTTGAGCATATGTTGCAAGACTGCATGAATATTTGACAACAAGGAATCCACAGCTTATCTCGGGCGCAATGTGCCTCCTGCCTTGCATTTCATCTCATTTTATTTTATTTGACATCATATGTTGTCCAAGTCATCGCACTTCATCTATTCAGTCAGTTTTCTCGCATCACTTCTACACAATAGTGCTCGAATTTTCGATGTATGATCAGCTGTGTCTTGAGGATTTTTGATCATTTTATGGCTTTCGTCGAATGCTGGTCGACTCGATTCTCCCTAAAATCTTGGGAAAACCACGATAAGGAGTTCTCATAACTTTATTACAAGCATTCGTTAGCTGTTATTTATTCGAGGAAACTAAATTATCTCCAAGTCTATTACCGATTTTTCGACACTGAAGGGATGGGTCGTTTATCGGTGCGTTGTCCTCAGAGAACCTTATTCATACTGAATGGCATCACTATCGTTGCGCTATCCGTCTTACTTTGCATTTTTAAACCAAAATTTTCTATACGTAAATAGTAGCGATCTGTAATTCAAAGCAAACAAACATTTTCAAGTGGTATCTGGTAGTTTTGATGAATAGCTGGTGAAGCTACAGTATGTCTAAAAAGCAGGATTAACGGCTCCCTCGTAATATGGAAATGATAACGAAAATGTTGAGCGAGAATTTTTCGCTCTAGAAACTACACCACAAATCCCGAAATCATTATTAGAAAAAAAACCGCTATGGATTTCTCCTTTGGGAGTCTGAGTTGCCAAAGAAAGCACGAAGAAGGATTCACCTTCAAGATGCGCTACGATCATAGCCGAAATCCTTAGAAATGTAAGGTACGTGCTACTTTTCCTCACAATGATGAGATATAACCATAATGATGCTGAGACATTTGAAAAACTCAGAATCACAGGTGCCTGCGGTGGGAACCGAACACTCTGTTATCATTTCAAAAGGTGCTTAACAGATCAATCAAGTTAACGGATGATTACTGATAGAAGCTATAGATTAATAATAGGGATGAGAGAAAAGCGAGTCGAAGGACTCACATGGTGTGGTGGTGTGCGCCTTAATCCCGGAAGTAGTACAATAACTTGTTCGGTCTCCACTGCACAAGATAGAGGCCTGGAGTTTTGCGTGCATCTCTGCATCATTATAGTTATAATGTTTACTTTTTTGTTTACTACCCACTACAATTTTCACGGCAGGGTATTATGCGAAATCGTCCACAACGGTGCTGAGATATTCGCAAAACTTGTACCCCGAACGAGATCTAACCACGATTTCTTTTTTCGGGAGCTCGCGCATTACACACTGTGCCACGGAGGCTCTTGCTCAGCGTTTCCTTCATATAGTTCCCTAATTTCGCTGAGAGGTCATTGCTGATGGCACTGGTAGATAGAAAACTAGCTGAGAGAAACTCAGAGAAACGGCCTCCGTAGCACAGTGTGCAATGCGCGATCCCCCGGAAAGAGAAATCGTGATTCGATCTGGCCGGAGTCCACGCTTTGCGAATATCTCAGCATCATTATGGTTATATTTCACATAATATACTGCCATTAAAAAAACAAGGAGTAAATAAAAAGTGACGACGTGATGCTGAGTTATTTCCAAATTTGGACTCATAGATCGAGCCGCGGTTGCGCTTTCTGAGAGCTTGTGTGTTGAGCACAGCACCATTGAAGCCCTCTTTCTACCTTTCGCCCAGCCACTCTTTTTACCGTAATGGTATCATTAGCCATCACATGTCAATAGGAATGATCTAGGGGCACATATCAGCACTAAAGTTAAGTTGAGACTAGGGTTGAATTTACAATGTATTACTTTTATCTACTGCCATAATTTTTCATGTCGGAGCTCTTATGCAAAGTGCAATCATAATAATTTTAGATACTTGGAAAGGTAACCCTGGGTTCGAAGAGGCCTAGGAGTCTGTATTTTGAAAGTATCTTAGCAGTATTGTGGTTATATTTTGCATAATACACTTCCTTGAAGGAATAATAGGCAGTAAGTAAAAATTAGGCTTTTTTCAACACATGTGATCTTATCTTAAAAAATTCGAGACCAGTGAAGGACGTCGATCTGTCTTATAGAAGCACTACAGGACCGCGCCATAGAAATACTGCCTTACCATCAACCCCTACCATACGCCTACGAAGTGGTATTGGACGATACGACACTATTTTATCAAAGCTGTTCACTGCCGTATTCCAGCGCACAATGAGGTCATTCCATCTGTGTGAAAAAGGCTTACCGTGATAGAAAGCTCCTTTCATATCATTGCTTTGCTGACGAAATCATTGAAGCGGTAAAAAGGTTTTATTACAAGAAATTGAAATAAGAATTAGTTAATGAAAAACCTTTCGTGCAAAACTGAAGAAATATTATAACGACCACCTCGTACGTTTACCTTGGACGTTTAATGAAATGAACACAGAGAACAACATGTAGGGGAAAGGTGATATAAAATCCTTCTCACCTCTGATACCCAAGAGATTATATGTCGCTAGCGAAACAAATCGGGGGGCCAGACTATGGGAAGAACGGACCATAGAAGTATGGACGACTCTAAGAGAATGGGAGCGTCCTCCAACTTTAAAATGGGTGGCCGTGTTTTCAGCCAAAATCAATCAATTGTTTTCGGACGTGTAAATGCTTCACAAGATAATGAGTTATGTGATATTCCACATTTTACCATAAAGGATAAAGGACAAAGCTCTCGGCGCTGATCTATCCCTGAGGTATGCTGCATGCATTCGTCTTCATTTAGCATCGTTGGAGGTGACTGAATGATTGAGGTAAAGGCATATCTGGTCTTTACAATGACCCGTGGTGACCTAGTGGTGACCTACCGATGTATCGGGCCAGTGCTGCTATCTCAAGTCTGGTACCAATTTGCCAACCCCGGAGGGATGGACGGCTTGGTAGGCCATGGGCGCGATGATCGATTCTACATGTGTGTTGCAGGGCTCCTCCGACCACTGCGCTACATGCCCCCCCTAAATTTATCCTGCTCAGAGCAATCACCACCATAGACGACGAACGCGATGCCAAAACAGAAGATGCACTGAGGCTCGTATTGGTATTAATGATGGGACGTCCAAATGTCCATGTAATAAATAACTAACCAATGTGATTAGCAAACAAACGTGTTAATATGTTGTGGAAAACAGATAAAATAAAGCAGATGATTGCAGCGAAGGTTTCGTGAACGATGCGAAACACTTCTGACACACCGTGAATCCTTTGATAACAATTCTGTAGGTACCTATGTACAATAACCCTATTGCATAAGCAATCTTATCTGTTTACTGATGAGATAGTTAGCACTATTGTGAGTGGCTTCCTGGGAAGGAAATACTCGCCGTGGCATCGAAGAAAAACAATTCGGATAGCACCGGACAATCTTCACTAGGTTCTTAGCAACAGCCTCGCTTAAATTTTAAAACGTCACAAGAAAAAGGCTATAAAAAGTGCTTTAGTTGGTTTATTGATAAAATTAGAAGTTTTCATAAATCTTTGTTATTGCTGGCGTCTCGACAAAATCCCCTTCTTCAGAGATCTGACAATTCGAGTTGAGTTTGCACAGCCGCTGATTCTTCTGGTGGTGTGCATCTT